TCATAAGGTTACAGACCCATAGCACACAATCATAAGGTTACAGACCCAGTGCACACAATCATAAGGTTACAGACCTAGTGCACACAATCATAAGGTTACACAGTACACACAATCATAAGGTTACAGACCCAGTGCACACAATCATAAGGTTACAGACCCAGTGCACACAATCATAAGGTTACAGACACATAGCACACAATCATAAGGTTACAGACCTAGTGCACACAATCATAAGGTTACACAGTACACACAATCATAAGGTTACAGACCCAGTGCACACAATCATAAGGTTACAGACCCAGTGCACACAATCATAAGGTTACAGACCCAGTGCACACAATCATAAGGTTACAGACACATAGCACACAATCATAAGGTTACAGACCCAGTGCATACAATCATAAGGTTACACATAGCACACAATCATAAGGTTACAGACCCATAGCACACAATCATAAGGTTACAGACCCAGTGCACACAATCATAAGGTTACAGACCTAGTGCACACAATCATAAGGTTACAGACCCAGTGCACACAATCATAAGGTTACAGACCCATAGCACACAATCATAAGGTTACAGACCCAGTGCACACAATCATAAGGTTACAGACCTAGTGCACACAATCATAAGGTTACAGACCCAGTGCACACAATCATAAGGTTACAGACCCAGTGCACACAATCATAAGGTTACACAGTACACACAATCATAAGGTTACAGACCCAGTGCACACAATCATAAGGTTACACAGTACACACAATCATAAGGTTACAGACCAATAGCACACAATCATAAGGTTACAGACCCAGTGCACACAATCATAAGGTTACAGACCCAGTGCACACAATCATAAGGTTACAGACCCATAGCACACAATCATAAGGTTACAGACCCAGTGCACACAATCATAAGGTTACAGACCTAGTGCACACAATCATAAGGTTACACAGTACACACAATCATAAGGTTACAGACCCAGTGCACACAATCATAAGGTTACAGACACATAGCACACAATCATAAGGTTACAGACCCAGTGCACACAATCATAAGGTTACAGACCCAGTGCACACAATCATAAGGTTACAGACCTAGTGCACACAATCATAAGGTTACACAGTACACACAATCATAAGGTTACAGACCCAGTGCACACAATCATAAGGTTACAGACCCAGTGCACACAATCATAAGGTTACAGACCCAGTGCACACAATCATAAGGTTACAGACCCAGTGCACACAATCATAAGGTTACAGACACATAGCACACAATCATAAGGTTACAGACCCAGTGCACACAATCATAAGGTTACAGACCCAGTGCACACAATCATAAGGTTACAGACACATAGCACACAATCATAAGGTTACAGACCCAGTGCATACAATCATAAGGTTACACATAGCACACAATCATAAGGTTACAGACCCAGTGCACACAATCATAAGGTTACAGACCCAGTGCACACAATCATAAGGTTACAGACCCAGTGCACACAATCATAAGGTTACAGACCCAGTGCACACAATCATAAGGTTACAGACCCAGTGCACACAATCATAAGGTTACAGACACATAGCACACAATCATAAGGTTACAGACCCAGTGCACACAATCATAAGGTTACAGACCCATAGCACACAATCATAAGGTTACAGACCCAGTGCACACAATCATAAGGTTACATAGCACACAATCATAAGGTTACAGACCTAGTGCACACAATCATAAGGTTACACAGTGCACACAATCATAAGGTTACAGACCCAGTGCACACAATCATAAGGTTACACAGTACACACAATCATAAGGTTACAGACCCAGTGCACACAATCATAAGGTTACAGACTATAGACGCAGTGCATATACATTTACGCTCTCAGCTTCTGATATAGAAAACATTTGTCTAAACAAGGAACACAAGACTGATGCAGGCAACTGTGATGTCAGCAGCCTATCAGACTCGTTCATGTCTTACAGGTCAACTTTGTTTAGGTAGCACAATATTCAACCTTTGTGTGGCAACATTCAACCTTTGTGTGGCAACATTTAAACTCAATGTGGCAACATTTAAACTCAATGTGGCAACATTTAAACTCAATGTGGCAACATTTAAACTCAATGTGGCAACATTCTTGTGTCACAATATTCAACCTTTGTGTGGCACCATTCAACCTTTGGTTTGTTAATTTTAAGTTTCATTTAAAAAACGTCTTTCACTGGATCATTTCAGACTTTAGATTATATATATGAAACAGTTTTTTAAAACTTAACTTTGACCAATATTTAAAGCTAGCCTAGAAGTAACAGTGGCCAGTTAACCCTTGACAGGCCTATGTATCCACTGTCACAAAAGTATATTTTTTTGAGGTGCCAGCTGTCACAAAACTATTTATAGTATGTTTACTTACGCTTAGTAGCGGAAGACTCGTGGTAACGAGATTTTGAGATTTACTGGCAGAAACGGGAAATTATAAGTTTTATTTATGTTGTTTTCTCTTGGTTCTATCACTAGTGGTTCATTTTCTACAATTTTTTCTAAAGTTAAAAGTTTTTCTCAAAATTACGGGCAATATAATTAGTGAAATTAAATCTAATTAAAATGCCTAAGCCAGTGAATCTTTCTTTCTTGATAATGTAACTATTTAAAAAGAAGGTACGTCCAGTGACTACGTTGACTTTTTTTTAGCATTTGAAATAAAAATTTTATACAAATAATATTAGTTGTGTTTTATTTATGTTTTTCTGAGATTAGTGTTATTTTTATTTATTATCTATTACGCTATTTAACCTTATACATGATAAACTTAGACCAATTTTGTGTTTAAGGTTGTTTTTTTTTAAATAATTTTTTAAAAAGTCCAGAGTTGGAAAATTAGTTGTCTTTTCGCCTAGCCGTAAGGGAAGTAAAATAGTTTTGATGCCCCAGACATTAAAAGGTTACTTGAAATCAGAGTCTGCAATTAAAACTTTGTACACACAATTCTGGGATGGCTAATAGAAGCTACTTTGTAGCTGAGCACTGAATATTATGGTGCAATGAGAAGGCTTATGATTAACTGCACACTACCAATGTCTGTCATGCACACTACCAATGTCTGTCATGCACACTACCAATGTCTGTCATCAACTGCACACTACCAATGTCTGTCATGCACACTACCAATGTCTGTCATCAACTGCACACTACCAATGTCTGTCATGCACACTACCAATGTCTGTCATGCACACTACCAATGTCTGTCATCAACTGCACACTACCAATGTCTGTCATGCACACTACCAATGTCTGTCATGCACACTACCAATGTCTGTCATGCACACTACCAATGTCTGTCATCAACTGCACACTACCAATGTCTGTCATGCACACTACCAATGTCTGTCATCAACTGCACACTACCAATGTCTGTCATGCACACTACCAATGTCTGTCATGCACACTACCAATGTCTGTCATGCACACTACCAATGTCTGTCATGCACACTACCAATGTCTGTCATCAACTGCACACTACCAATGTCTGTCATGCACACTACCAATGTCTGTCATGCACACTACCAATGTCTGTCATGCACACTACCAATGTCTGTCATGCACACTACCAATGTCTGTCATGCACACTACCAATGTCTGTCATCAACTGCACACTACCAATGTCTGTCATGCACACTACCAATGTCTGTCATCAACTGCACACTACCAATGTCTGTCATGCACACTACCAATGTCTGTCATGCACACTACCAATGTCTGTCATGCACACTACCAATGTCTGTCATCAACTGCACACTACCAATGTCTGTCATGCACACTACCAATGTCTGTCATCAACTGCACACTACCAATGTCTGTCATCAACTGCACACTACCAATGTCTGTCATGCACACTACCAATGTCTGTCATGCACACTACCAATGTCTGTCATGCACACTACCAATGTCTGTCATGCACACTACCAATGTCTGTCATGCACACTACCAATGTCTGTCATGCACACTACCAATGTCTGTCATGCACACTACCAATGTCTGTCATGCACACTACCAATGTCTGTCATCAACTGCACACTACCAATGTCTGTCATGCACACTACCAATGTCTGTCATGCACACTACCAATGTCTGTCATGCACACTACCAATGTCTGTCATCAACTGCACACTACCAATGTCTGTCATGCACACTACCAATGTCTGTCATCAACTGCACACTACCAATGTCTGTCATGCACACTACCAATGTCTGTCATGCACACTACCAATGTCTGTCATGCACACTACCAATGTCTGTCATGCACACTACCAATGTCTGTCATGCACACTACCAATGTCTGTCATCAACTGCACACTACCAATGTCTGTCATGCACACTACCAATGTCTGTCATCAACTGCACACTACCAATGTCTGTCATGCACACTACCAATGTCTGTCATGCACACTACCAATGTCTGTCATGCACACTACCAATGTCTGTCATCAACTGCACACTACCAATGTCTGTCATGCACACTACCAATGTCTGTCATCAACTGCACACTACCAATGTCTGTCATCAACTGCACACTACCAATGTCTGTCATGCACACTACCAATGTCTGTCATGCACACTACCAATGTCTGTCATGCACACTACCAATGTCTGTCATGCACACTACCAATGTCTGTCATGCACACTACCAATGTCTGTCATGCACACTACCAATGTCTGTCATGCACACTACCAATGTCTGTCATGCACACTACCAATGTCTGTCATCAACTGCACACTACCAATGTCTGTCATGCACACTACCAATGTCTGTCATGCACACTACCAATGTCTGTCATGCACACTACCAATGTCTGTCATCAACTGCACACTACCAATGTCTGTCATGCACACTACCAATGTCTGTCATCAACTGCACACTACCAATGTCTGTCATGCACACTACCAATGTCTGTCATGCACACTACCAATGTCTGTCATGCACGCTAACAATGTCTGTCATGCACGCTAACAATGTCTGTCATCAACTAGAATCTGCTGCAGAACTCTGGGTACCATCAATGGCAGACTGGTCAGCTGAAGTCTGGTGGTCAGCGGAGGTTTGGTGGTCAGCGGAGGTTTGGTGGTCAACTTTTTGTCTTTTCCTGGCTCGTGTGTCTGCCAACACCTGTTCAATTGTCCGAAGGTCTTGTTTGTTTTTACTGGGGACTGAGAGACATTGGGTCAATGATCACAAATTCTAGCGCAAGCCCTCGTTAACTCATGCATGGTGGCGAGACATTGGATCAATGAACACAAATTCTAGTGCAACGTTAACTCATGCATGGTGGCGAGACATTGGATCAATGAACACAAATTCTAGTGCAACGTTAACTCATGCATGGTGGCGAGACATTGGATCAATGAACACAAATTCTAGTGCAACGTTAACTCATGCATGGTGGCGAGACATTGGATCAATGAACACAAATTCTAGTGCAACGTTAACTCATGCATGGTGGCGAGACATTGGATCAATGAACACAAATTCTAGTGCAACGTTAACTCATGCATGGTGGCGAGACATTGGATCAATGAACACAAATTCTAGTGCAACGTTAACTCATGCATGGTGGCGAGACATTGGATCAATGAACACAAATTCTAGTGCAACGTTAACTCATGCATGGTGGCGAGACATTGGATCAATGAACACAAATTCTAGTGCAACGTTAACTCATGCATGGTGGCGAGACATTGGATCAATGAACACAAATTCTAGTGCAACGTTAACTCATGCATGGTGGCGAGACATTGGATCAATGAACACAAATTCTAGTGCAACGTTAACTCATGCATGGTGGCGAGACATTGGATCAATGAACACAAATTCTAGTGCAACGTTAACTCATGCATGGTGGCGAGACATTGGATCAATGAACACAAATTCTAGCGCAAGCCCTCGTTAACTCATGGTGGAGGATACAGAAATGATGGGCTTGGTTGTATGCAGTAACTAGAGTTAACAAAACTGTATGAAGTAATTGGACTTACCAAAGCCGTATGCAGTAACTGGACTTACCAAAGCCGTAAGAAGTAACTGGACTTACCAAAGCCATAAGAAGTAACTGGACTTACCAAAGCCGTATGAAGTAACTGGACTTACCAAAGCCGTATGAAGTAACTAAACTTACCAAAGCCATATGAAGTAACTAAACTTACCAAAGACATATGAAGTAATTGGACTTACTAAAGCCGTATGAAGTAACTGGACTTACTAAAGCCGTATGAAGTAACTGAACTTACCAAAGCCGTATGAAGTAACTGGACTTACCAAAGCCGTATGAAGTAACTGACTTACTAAAGTCGTATGAAGTAACTGGACTTACCAAAGCCGTATGAAGAATTGGAAACTAAACCCCTGGCAGCATCTTTAGCTGCCTCGTCACCAATCAGATGCTTGTACTTGTCTCTATAATTAGACGCAGGTGTGCTGCTCTTGGCAGGTAATTCCTGCTGGGCAGCGTCTGACAGCTCCTGGAGACATGGGCACATGCTGTCAGTGATGTCACATGCTGTCAGTGTCTTGATGTCACATGTCAGTAGCCTGGTGTCACATGCTGTCAGTGTCTTGATGTCACATGCTCTCACTGTCTTGATGTCACATGTCAGTAGCCTGGTGTCACATGTTGTCAGTGTCTTGGTGTCACAAGCTGTCAGTGTCTTGGTGTCACATGCTGTCAGTGTCTTGATGTCACATGCTGTCAGTGTCTTGATGTCACATGCTGTCAGTAGCCTGGTGTCACATGCTGTCAGTGTCTTGATGTCACATGCTGTCAGTGTCTTGATGTCACATGCTGTCAGTGTCTTGATGTCACATGATGTCAGTAGCCTGGTGTCACATGCTGTCAGTGTGTTGATGTCACATACTGTCACTGTCTTGATGTCACATACTGTCACTGTCTTGATGTCACACACAACTCTCATAGACACATTCTTCCTGATAAAAATTGTCAGTGTGTTATTGTATATTTATTCAATGTATAGACTCTAGTTAGATATGTCCAAGTTCTAGGCCATGACTGACCCCCCACTAATAGCCTGTACAAAAACAAACTACTACAAATCATATTAATCTTCTAACTTGCCCATTAAACTGATTGGTGGTCTAGGCATAGATAAAATACATGGCATTTTTTCCTGGCAAAATCTTTAAAATTACATTATAGATAATACAATTTTTATTTTCTCTTTTGCTGATTCTAACTTTTGACTGAGTACTCTGGCCAACGTTTGACTGTTTGGCCAACTCCTTTTAAAAATGTTTACCTTTTGTTTGCCAAGTCTTTTTAAAAATGTGTACCTTTTGTTTGGCCAACTCCTTTAAAAATGTTTACCTTTTGTTTGGCCAACTCCTATAAAAATGTTTACCTTTTGTCTTGCCAACTCCTATAAAAATGTTTACCTTTTGTTTGGCCAACTCCTATAAAAATGTTTACCTTTTGTTTGGCCAAATCCTTTAAAATGTTTACCTTTTGTTTGGCCAACTCCTATAAAAATGTTTACCTTTTGTCTGGCCAACTCCTATAAAAATGTTTACCTTTTGTTTGGCCAACTCCTTTTAAAAATGTTTACCTTTTGTTTGGCCAACTCCTATAAAAATGTTTACCTTTTGTTTGGCCAACTCCTATAAAAATGTTTACCTTTTGTCTGGCCAACTCCTATAAAAATGTTTACCTTTTGTTTGGCCAACTCCTATAAAAATGTTTACCTTTTGTTTGGCCAAATCCTTAAAAATGTTTACCTTTTGTTTGGCCAAATCCTTAAAAATGTTTACCTTTTGTTTGGCCAACTCCTATAAAAATGTTTACGTTTTGTTTGGCCAACTCCTTTAAAAATGTTTACCTTTTGTTTGGCCAACTCCTTGGCCCTCTCTGGGTCCCACTCTTCTCCTTTCCTGTAGGCCAGCAACTCTTCATCACAGGGAGCAAACTCCTTCAAGTTGAAACAAAAAATGTTATGACCAAACTTTGTTGACCTACTAGACAGATTTGATTGATCTGGGCTGATAAAAGTTAAATTTGGTTTACCTTCTTCCACATCATGACATATCTGTCTTCTTCCTCCTGACCAAAGGAAAAGGAGGACAACCCAGCAACCTCTGCAACTTCATGTCTGGATAGTTAAATAACAAGTTGATTTACATCAAATTAAAGGACAGGTTCAATGATATAAACCAATGAAAATAATATTATATCACATTAAATGTACACAGGTTCAATGATATAAACCAATGAAGATAATATTAAATCACATTAAATGTACACAGGTTCAATGATATAAACCAATGAAAATAATATTATATCACATTAAATGTACACAGGTTCAATGATATAAACCAATGAAAATAATATTAAATCACATTAAATGTACACAGGTTCAATGATATATACCAATGAAAATAATATTAAATCACATTAAATGTACACAGGTTCAATAATATATACCAATGAAAATAATATTAAATGTACATTAAATGTACACAGAAGTATATCAAATTTTTTAAGGGTAAAAAATTGATTCATGTCAGAACAGACCTGAACACCTCCATGTCAACATCACTGATCATGTGACTTCAACAAACAATCATGTGACTTCAACAAACAATCATGTGACTTCAATAAACAATCATGTGACTTCAATAAACAATCATGTGACTTCAACAAACAATCATGTGACTTCAACAAACAATCATGTGACTTCAACAAACAATCATGTGACTTCAACATACATGTGACTTACACAATGGCCCTGAACACCTTGTCCATAGGCTCCAGCTTAAGCTTCTCCTGCTTGCCATCCTGTATAAATTCATGGATTCTCTTCTGGATCTGGAAATAGGAGGATAAGAAAATATCTAAAGTATAGCCAAATGAACATTTCTAAGCGCCTCAATGATACAGCTAATTAAATCAGCTAACAGCAACATTTTACACATTAGGAGTTACAAATAGGTTTAGACCATTGTTTGTTTTGAATTTTTTCTGCTCTACTGCTAAACTTGCCATAGAAATAAGTGGGTAGGCCTAATGAAGTACTTACCTAGAAAAATGGACAGTGAAAACAAATATAATGCAAACGAACTAAAACATTAAGCTAACCTTTAAACGAAAGTTGTCCAACCAAAATATTAAGCTAACCTTTAAACGAAAGTTGTCCAACATTTTCTTCTCAGCTTCCTGTTGTTTCTCTAGCATGGCCTTTTGTGCTGTAAAGAAACAAAGAGATACATTGAGATAGGTAGGATGGATGTTTAACTACATTTCTGTTTGGTAGGCTGAATGTTTAACTACATTTCTGGAGACCTTGATAGGCTGTATGTTTAACTACATTTTTGGAGACCTTATAGGCTGAATGTTTAACTACATTTCTGGAGACCTAGGTAAGATGAATGTTTACATTTCTGGAGACCATCGTGGGCTGAATGTTTAACTACATTTCTGGAGACCTTGTAGGCTGAATGTTTAACTACATTTCTAAAGACATAGGTCAGGTTTGTAATCTCAGTAAAAAATAAATTAGTTAGTTAACTAATTAAATATTGCTAATGATATGAAGGGGGATTGTTTTGGTTAAGTTATTAGTTAAGTGGGTTACAGCACAACACTATCGACACACAACACTGTGTGTGTGCGCGGTATGTGGCCTAAAAAACCGAAAGGAGATTGTTTATATTACTGTGTTTTGTTTATATTTAACTCAATGCAACAAGCCCGCCTGTTGGTTGAGGCCAGGCCGGGGGGATGTTCTGACCAAGATTCAAATGATGACTCGAAATCGTCCGACACAAATTCATATCATATTCAATAGGCCTATACTTAGGGCAGGCCTATGTTAAAACCACATTAAATTACTAAATTAGTCACCTTTCTTTCACATTACTAAGGTAAGTCTTATTAGTTTATAGAAATCTACTAAAAATTCTAAGTTACAATAGTTAGTGACATCTCTGTGACTGTCTCAGTGAGCAAAGTCACACACACACAGTCACTCAGCAGTGAGGCGCAATTAAAAACTCATTTCCAGGGCTTTCCAATACATTATTAATTAATTTAGACAGATTAGACAAAACTAATGTAATTTTAATTCTATGTAATCTATCTAGTGACCTTTTGCTTTCTTGCGTTCAGCTGTACCAACAGAAGGAGGTTTTTCCATTGAACCTAAAATCGATCCTAACAAATCAGCCATTTTGAACTTTCTGTTTATGAGGGCACTGGGGTTCACCTAAATAACTAGATCTATTCAACGCAAAAAAACAACAACACACACACACACAAAACACAATTAAAATCGAAAGCTGCAGTAACTTTGTTGTTTTATGGCTTTATGAAATGTAGTTTTATTCCTTATATAGATCTAGATCAACATATCATTATTTTATTTAGAGTAATTTATGTAATGAGTAATGTATTTATTTATTTATTAAAAAATGCACTCATACGTTTATTAATTTATTTTATTTATTTTTAAATAAAATACTAAATATGATATTTAGCCTGTTTTTTTTTTAATTATAATCTTTAGTTTTAAAACTGTTTATTTTAAAAATATAGACCTAGATTGTTAGAATTAATTATTTTATTATAGGCCCTAAATGTTTTTACATCGTTAATTTCTAGGTGTCAAAAAATTATTTAGATCTAGTGTTTATTCCCACCCACGTTAATGAAAATTATGCTGAATTTTTTCCACTAACAAACTTAAACGAGATCCATATCGGTACTTAAATAATTGAGTAGGTCTATACATTTGGAAAGATGTAGGTCTATTTTGAAAAGATACATTTTCAAATGCCTGAAATGAAAAAAAAAAAAAACTTTGTTGGTTTGCTCAACTGCTAACGATCATTCAAACCATATCGCGTTATATCGATCAGGTTGATCTACACACGACTATTTCACAATCAACTACAAAAATTTTGTTTGTTTTGGATGGGGGTCTTTAGCCGATACGGCGCGTTTCTTGCAAAATGTTTTTGTTGTTGATTATAAATAACCTGCGTGCCCGTCCCAGCCCGTTGCCGCGATCTCAGAAGAAAGTCAGAAGAAAATATTTTAAGAGGGTTTCATCAATGCGTTACCAATCCTGTATTCTTAGACGTGTGACCTTGTCATATTTTCGTTATTTTTAGGATTGTAGGCTTTGTTGTTTTTTTTTTTTTTTGTTATAGATTTTTTTATAGACCAAAGGAAACAACAAGTTAATTTATTTATTTTTTTGCAAAATAACCTAAGCTTATAAGCTTAACCTAAGTTAACGCATCTGATTATTCAAAATTCCTTACTTTTATTATAGGGCACGTGTAAGCCTAGATTAGCGTCGTAATTGTAGTGTTGTATTCTCTAGGTTAGTGTCGTAATTGTAGTGTTGTATTCACTAGGTTAATGTGGCATTGTAGTATTGTATTTTCTAAATTAGTCTGCCATTGTGTAGTGATGTAGTAGGCTAGTGTGGTATTGTGTAGTATTATGTGGTGTAGTATCATCCTCCACATTCATAGATCTACATGCCTGTAGGTCAACCCGTTTATCCACCACCCCCCCCCCCCCACACACACACACTTTCAGTATTTTCCCCACTATTTCGGCATAAGAGATGTGTTGAAGTAGTTATACATTTTAGTGAACACAATTATTGAACTTTTTTTGTCAACAAAAGTTTATTTGACAAATGTTTTTCTTTTGTTTTTTATATTGCACTTGGCATTGTCATACCGCTTCGCGCATGAGTAGAGACAGGTCTGACAGTATCAAACTTGACCAGATCACGTCAAAAGGTTCAAACTTGACCAGATCACGTCAAAAAGTTCAAACTTGACCAGATCACGTCAAAAAGTTTAAACTTGACCAGATCACGTCAAAAAGTTCAAACTTGACCAGATCACGTCAAAAAATTTAAACTTGACCAGATCACGCCGAAAGGTTCAAACTTGACCAGATCACGTCAAAAAGTTCAAATTTGACTAGATCATGTCAAAAAGTTCAAATTTGACCAGATCACGTCAAAAAGTTCAAATTTGACTAGATCACGTCAAAAAGTTCAAATTTGACTAGATCACGTCAAAAGGTTCAAACTTGACCAGATCACGTCAAATGTTCAAACTTGACCAGATCATGTCAAAAAGTTCAAACTTGACCAGATCACGTCAGAATGTGTAGACTAGCGCTGGGTCACCAATGGAAGAAGCCGATCTCTGCGAGTCGCCCCAAGAGGTCCGCCTGATGGGCATCGCTCAGAGGTCTCATGGGAAATCTCGGTGGTCCGATGTCAACACCGAGTTTAGAGAGCACTACTTTCATGGCGGGTATTATCCCGCCAGCTTGTCCACCTATAAGAGAAAATAGTCCGTTGAAACACATTCTTTTAAGAGCATACGAGCTATGGGGTCTTTTACACATTTCTGTTGTCTAGGAATGTGTCACTGCAAGGAATATTTTTCTAGTGCAAAAACAAATTAAGCAAATTACTGAGTGTAACCTATTTCTCTCTTTTAAAAGATCATCGGTGATGAAAGTATTGTTTAGATTATTTTCCAGTTACCGAATTCACAGCAAACTTTGACCAGATCAACGCTCCTGTACTGAAATGTTCGCGCCTCTTGGATCTGCCCGTTGCTCAAGGCGTCCTTCAACTTGTGATAGGTGCCAGCCATCAGTGAGTAGGTGGAGCCAATGGCGCCCTTGAAGCCAATGACGAACGCTGACATCACTTGCTGGGGGGAGGGGAGACACGGAGGTGAGCAGGGTGTCATGACATCATGCCGTTATTATATCAGAGGTCTAATGTCGCTAACTGGGTTAGGGTTGTGTTTTGTTAAGTAAGACGTACCTCGTCACACCCGAACAGAATGTCGAACAGGTTTCCCTGGGCGTCAGACGTCCGCAAGCACCTGCTGCCCTCGTACAGGTCTTTGCTGGAGAACTTGACGCCCCGCAGGGTGGGGATCACGTGACGGCTTCTGACGAGAAACTGCTCCATGTCGACTGTGGGAAACATCATTCTCTCAGACATGAGGCGTACACCTGGTCTACAGACTTACACCTGGTCTACAGACTTACACCTGGTCTACAGACTTACACCTGGTCTACAGACTTACACCTGGTCTACAGACTTACACCTGGTCTACAGACTTACACCTGGTCTACAGACTTACACCTGGTCTACAGACTTACACCTGGTCTACAGACTTACACCTGGTCTACAGACTTACACAGACTTACACCTGGTCTACAGACTTACACCTGGTCTACAGACTTACACCTGGTCTACAGACTTACACCTGGTCTACAGACTTACACCTGGTCTACAGACTTACACCTGGTCTACAGACTTACACCTGGTCTACAGACTTACACCTGGTCTAGAGACTTACACCTGGTCTACAGACTTACACAGACTTACACCTGGTCTACAGACTTACACCTTACACCTGGTCTACAGACTTACACCTTACACCTGGTCTACAGACTTACACCTTACACCTGGTCTACAGACTTACACCTTACACCTGGTCTACAGACTTACACCTGGTCTACAGACTTACACCTGGTCTAGAGACTTACACCTGGTCTACAGACTTACACCTGGTCTACAGACTTACACCTGGTCTAGAGACTTACACCTGGTCTACAGACTTACACCTGGTCTACAGACTTACACCTGGTCTACAGACTTACACCTGGTCTAGAGACTTACACCTGGTCTACAGACTTACACCTGGTCTACAGACTTACACCTGGTCTACAGACTTACACCTGGTCTAGAGACTTACACCTGGTCTACAGACTTACACCTTACACCTGGTCTACAGACTTACACCTTACACCTGGTCTACAGACTTACACCTGGTCTACAGACTTACACCTGGTCTACAGACTTACACCTGGTCTAGAGACTTACACCTGGTCTACAGACTTACACCTGGTCTACAGACTTACACCTGGTCTAGAGACTTACACCTGGTCTACAGACTTACACAGACTTACACCTGGTCTACAGACTTACACCTGGTCTACAGACTTACACCTTACACCTGGTCTACAGACTTACACCTGGTCTACAGACTTACACCTGGTCTAGAGACTTACACCTGATCTACAGACTTACACAGACTTACACCTGGTCTACAGACTTACACCTGGTCTACAGACTTACACCTGGTCTACAGACTTACACCTGGTGTACAGACTTACACCTTACACCTGTCCTGTCAGGTATATGGTAGTAATAGAACGGCACAGAGGGCGCTCTTGCTGCCACCTGTCGGCAGAAGTCGACCAACTCGTCTGACAAGTCAAATAAGAAAATCCAATTAGTTAATTTAATCTGATGACCTAATTAGTTTTTAAATTTATAACATTCAAAGGAGAAATAGTTCGAATGATGAATGACTGAGGGGTTGTTACAGAGGCGTAGCGACCCTTCCCGGCGCCTAGGGACAAACTTTTCGATTTGCACCCCCCCCCCCCCCCCCCTCAAGATTTCGATTTGCATCCCTCCCGGACCCTCCCCCCAAACTTTCAATTTATTTTTCCAACCCATTTTGGCGCCCCCTAAGGTCGGCGCCCGGGGACATATGTCCCCCCGCCCCCCCCCCTCGCTACGCTACTGGGTTGGTAAGAGGCTCGAGTGTGTGTGTGTGGGGGGGGGGGGGTAATGGAGAGTGTAGGCGCACATTGTGTCAGCCCTATTACTGTGCTGTTGTTTTCTGTTGTTGTGTGTTGGTGTGGTTTGGTGCTGTGGTTTGGTGCTGTTTATTGTTGTTGTTGACGTACCGATATTTTGAGGCAGGAGGTATAATGGCGCTAAAGTAGAAATAGCGTCTGCTCCTATACTAGCAGCATGCTCGGCCTACAGAAAAAACATGGCAAGTTAGCAGGTTGGTCATCAGAACAACTTTCAGAGGCGTAGCGACCCTTCCCGGCGCCCGGGGACAAACTTTTCGATTTGCACCCCCCCATCAAGATTTCGATTTGCACCCCCCCCCTCTCAAGATTTCGATTTCCATCCCCCCTCTCAAACTTTCAATTTTTTGCACCCCCCTCAACCTATCAATTTATTTTTCCAACCCATTTTGGCGCCCCCTAAGGTCGGCGCCCGGGGACATGTCCCACCCCCGCCCCCCCCCCCTCGCTACGCTACTGACAACTTTAGCCAACTGTTGGTCATCAGAACAACGAACCCAAGATGTAGATACTTCTAGAACGTTATCTACTCACCAGCTGACAAGTCTCCTTAAAACTTGTTCCACCGACTTGGATAAGTACTTTCATGTATCTGTGAGTAGAATGAGAATCTCTGATACATGATCAGAATCTCTGATACATGATCAGAATCTCTGATACATGATCAGAATCTCTGATACATGATCAGAATCTCTGATACATGATCAGAATCTCTGATACATGATCAAAATCTGGTGCGACGAAGATTTAGAACTGATGCTAGAGGCGAATCTGATTTTGGCAATATTAAAATCAACGTCAGAAGGTTTTTTTTTTTTTTTTTTCATGCAAGTCAATAGAATCTAAACCAGCATTGTTCTAAGCCTAGGACCTAAACTTAATCTCTCCACTAACTGCTCTGTTGGAGTGATAATGAGAAATTTCTACAACATAGCGAGGGTGGGATGGGGTGGTCTGGTATGACGTAACAGTTCTTAGTGTGACGCAAGGTCACATCGATTGAGATTCACCGTGTTTTTTCAAGTGACATCAACAGTTTACCTCTTCTGTTATTCATAAATGGCAATTTAAAATGTCCATTTTAAATAGCCATTTTGAATTGGACATTTTAACACCAGGAATTAACGAATAGCTTTAAATCTTGAACCTTCCTGGTAAGAGAGATAACTCCTTCCATTTCTCGGCGATTAGTTTTCTCTCGTCTGTCGTGAGTGATGTCCCTTCCCCCGTCGTCCCGTTAACTACAAAAATCACAAGTAAAAAATAAAGCTTTGATTTGCACTGAAGATAAAACTAATAAAACTTATTTTCTTTAGTAGAAACATTGGTTGATCATAAACTCTTTTAGATACTTTAGCGCCAAGATTTGTCCCCCACAGACCAGTGTTTCCTCCAGACATCGCTTCAAACGATATAGAATTCTTATAGAAAATATATACTTTTACCATTGTCCGCTCCCCTCCCCCCATGTGCTTCGTGATACGAAGCCAATGATGATACATGTGCCATATACAAGTTGTTTGTGACTCAATGATGATACATGTACCATATACAAGTTTTTCGTGACTCGATGATGATACATGTGCCATATACAAGTTGTTCGTGACTCAATGATGGTACATGTACCATATACAATTTGTTTGTGACACAATAATGATACATGTACCATATACAAGTTGTTTGTGACTCAATGATGATACATGTGCCATATACAAGTTGTTCGTGACTCAATGATGGTACATGTACCATATACAATTTGTTTGTGACACAATAATGATACATGTACCATATACAAGTTTTTCGTGACTCGATGATGATACATGTGCCATATACAAGTTGTTCGTGACTCAATGATGGTACATGTACCATATACAATTTGTTTGTGACACAATGATGATACATGTACCATATACAAGTTTTTCGTGACTCGATGATGATACATATGCCATATACAAGTTGTTCGTGACTCAATGATGGTACATGTACCATATACAATTTGTTTGTGACACAATGATGATACATGTACCATATACAAGTTTTTCGTGACTCGATGATGATACATATGCCATATACAAGTTGTTCGTGACTCAATGATGGTACATGTGCCATATACAAGTTCCTCACACAATCCCAGTAAAGAAAACAACTTACTATAAACATGTTGGATTCCTTGCTGTACAAGAAACTCCTGGTACTGATCGATGGCGTCTAGATTAACATCACTGTAGGAGGGAAGTTTATTGGATTAGTTGCACTATAGGAGGGACGTTTATTGGATTAGTTGCACTGCAGGAGGGATGTTTATTGGATTAGTTGCACGATTATCACATCACTATAGGAGGGACGTTTATTGGATTAGTTGCACGATTATCACATCACTGCAGGAGGGATGTTTATTGGATTAGTTGCACTGTAGGAGGGATGTTTATTGGATTAGTTGCACGATTATCACATCACTGCAGGAGGGATGTTTATTGGATTAGTTGCACGATTATCTTAGGGGGGGGGGGGGGAGAAAATATAGGGATTGGACGATACCTATGGGGGGGGGGGGGGTGGGACCACACCTATGGGAAAAGTGGGGCGACAACTATGGGAGGGGTGGGAGGACGCCTATGGGAGGGGTGGGAGGACGCCTATGAGGATGATGGAGTAGACAGGGGTCAAACAATTCGAGGAGGAAACGTCTCGAGTTCCCCAGTGAGCAGGAAACGTCTCGAGTTCCCCAGTGAGCAGGAAACGTCTCGAGTTCCCCAGTGAGCAGGAAACGTCTCGAGTTCCCCAGTGAGCAGGAAACGTCTCGAGTTCCCCAGTGAGCAGATCAATGACGGAACAGCGGACTTCCGGGAGTCGATCACGTGATTGAAATCTGCGGTATTTACTGGCCGGTCACGTGACCAATAAAAAACCGTTACAGTTAACACGCCGGAACCACGCTATGCTGCAGTAAGGTGTAGATGTAGCACGCCGGGACCACGCTATGCTGCGGTAAGGTGTAGATGTAGCACATATGTTGACCGACTTTGACCTCCGTTCTTTGCCAGAGGTTAAGGCCTGTAGCAGGATCCGGACAATCGGCCGACACCCAAAAGGCCGACTGGATATATAAGGCTGACTTTTAATGTAATTAGTTTGTTGAGCCAACAAACTCGAATGTCTGTGGTCATGTTGTCTCCCCAGTCTAATAATCAAGGCATCAATTCTGGCATATCTCTGGGCATTAACTATGGGCATCAAAATCAAATTTAGGCATATCTCAGGGCATTAAATAATCCTACGTAAATTCTGCTGTCTGAAATATTCATGAAGACTAAGCTGAAACATTTGGCCATAAACTGAAACATTTGGCCACAAGCTGAAACATTTGGCCACAATCTGAAACATTTGGCCACAAAAAAACGATTAGCCTCAAACTAAATCATTTGGCCCACAGAATAAAACATTTGACCACAAATTAAAACATTTGGTCACAAAGTGAACCATTTGACCACAAGTTGAAACATTTGGCCACAAACTGAAACATTTGGCCACAAATTACAATATTTGGTCACACACTGAAACATTTGGTCCCAAAATGAAACGTTTGGCCACAAGCTGAAATTTGGCCACAATCTGAAAAAAATTGGCTACAAACAGAAACAATTGGTAAAAAAAAACATTTGGCCATAAACTGAAACATTTGGCCATAAACTGAAACATTTGGTCACAAGCTGAAACATTTGGCCACAATCTGAAACATTTGGCCACAAAAAACGATTAGCCACAATCTAAATCATTTGGCCACAAAATAAAACATTGGCCACAAATTAAAACATTTGGTCACAAAGTGAACCATTTGGCCACAAGTTGAAACATTTGGCCACAAACTGAAACATTTGGCCACAAGCTGAAATATTTGGCTACAAACAAACAATTGGTAAAAAAAAAAAAAACATTTGGCCCAATCTAAATCATTTGGCGACAAAATAAAACATTTGACCACAAGTTGAAACATTTGGCACCAAACTGAAACATTTGACCACAAGCAGAAACTTCAGAAAGTGAATCCAAACAAAATCAGACTTTACGTCTCTGAGTCTGGAAGTGTCTGCAAAAATGAAGAAAACATTTGAGTGAGGCATGCAGACTTGTCTCCTGATTCATCTACGCGCCAAAAAATAATTAGCCAGCAGAGGGCGAGTTACGTACCTTGTCTAGAGAGGGACTTTGGGGAAATGTACATCGATTTTCTTCATCGATTCCTCATTACCATAGGCAGCCCCAAGTGAGCGTGCGTAATTTTTCAGTTCTAATATTAATTTTTTTAGGGTTGGATTCTAAGCTCAAAAATGATAATAGCAGTTTTAAAAAAATGGTCATCGGAATTGAAATGACGAAACCATGAATAAAATACATTGTATCAGTTACGTGTGTTTTGGTTCTGTGGTTACAAGGTCTGTAGAGTGTGTGTATGTGTGTAGTGTGTTTGTGTTAGTTCTGTGGTTACAAGGTCTGTGTGTGTATGTGTGTAGTGTGTGAGTGACTCTAACACTCAGTCACTGACCAGCACGGATGTCACATACAAGATGACAAACATGTCATCTGATGACATGGGTTCAGCCCACCCAGCTATGCCACGGCCCACCTTTTCAGCAGCCTTGACCTTTATAAGACCCGAGCAGTCGACACTATGGTACTCACCCATTGTCCTTGAAGGGAGTGAAAGTGGCGGCAACGAAACCTTCCACAGAAAAAGACATCTTCTAACACCAGCTATGTTTGTGTACAGTGGATCACAAGATGGACAGGGGAGATAACATATCTACCCAGTTGGCCGGAGTAGCGTTTGAATCAACTTGACTGCTCTATGTTACTGTATCAAATAGGCCAAGGTTCACCGACATAGTTCAAAGATTGAACACCTAAAGAGGTTTTTGTTTGTTCAATTTCTGATCTGTTTTACTATGAAGTCGGTGTCGTCAACTCCTTTTGTGGTTGATTATAGTCCCTTGGTTTTAGCATAGTAGTATTTTGGATATATGTCCTAGTTATACATAAAAATAAATGAAGTGGATGGGATACTGTTCTTACCAGTGGTGTAGGGGTTATCTAACTTCGCTGAAGGTTACCCAAAGCTTTACTCTACACTATATATAGTGTTACACAATAGGAAATGTCATGGACCGGTCTCACAGTACTCAATGAAAAAAACAATTTGTTTCACAAATGATAAAAAACTAGGACTAGTTATAGTATCAAAATGATTAAAACAAACCAACATATTGTATCACAAATGAAAAATAAACACTAGTATCACAAATGATAAAAAACAAAGACTACTTATAGTATCACAATGATTAAAACAAACCAAGATATTGTATCACAAATGAAAAACAAAGACTAGTATCAACTCGCCAAGTTGTTTATTGTAGTACGTTTTTCTGATTTTTTTTTTACATTGAAATAAGACACAAAACTAGACATGAAATAAGGGCTTCACTACAATTCTTTTAATAGCATGTCTCTGTAAAATTATAACCTTTGAATGACCAGCCCTTGGCCTAAAATTGGTTTCAGTACATGTTTGAATTCAACTGCCGATCTAAAAATGATACAAACTAAAATCATACAACAGATAAAATTCTTTGACCAAACATGTGAAAAATGAACGTGTGAAATGAGACTGTGTTCATTGGAAACTTAAACAGTGTGGAGAGGTTAGGTAAATGAACAACCATTTAGCATTTGTTGCAAGCTGTGGATGTTGAGAGATGGTCACATGTGTGATGTGCTAGTGGTGGACAGCTGTGTTGTGCTAGTGTGTGGACAGCTGTGTTGTGCTAGTGTGTGGACAGCTGTGATGTTGTGTGCTAGTGGGTGGACAGCTGTGATGTTGTGTGCTAGTGGGTGGACAGCTGTGATGTGTGCTAGTGGGTGGACAGCTGTGATGTGCTAGTGGGTGGACAGCTGTGATGGTGTGTGCTAGTGGGTGGACAGCTGTGATGTTGTGTGCTAGTGGGTGGACAGCTGTGATGTTGTGTATTAGTGTGTGGACAGCTGTGATGTTGTGTGCTAGTGGGTGGACAGCTGTGATGTGTGTTAGTGGGTGGACAGCTGTGATGTTGTGTATTAGTGTGTGGACAGCTGTGATGTTGTGTGCTAGTGGGTGGACAGCTGTGATGTTGTGTGCTAGTGGGTGGACAGCTGTGATGTTGTGTGCTAGTGGGTGGACAGCTGTGATGTGTGTTAGTGTGTGGACAGCTGTGATGTTGTGTGCTAGTGGGTGGACAGCTGTGATGTTGTGTGTTAGTGTGTGGACAGCTTTGATGTTGTGTGTTAGTGTGTGGACGAGAGAGAATTGATAACCATGAACGTAGGATGAAGAACAAGATTAGATAGATCACAATACTTAAGTGGCTACAGTATAGAATAAACCAAAGCTACAAAACACAAGCAAATAACATCAAGATGATAAGTTCGATGGTAGCTGTTGATGGTAGGTTGATTCACAGGTGAAATGATGGTGACTGTAACAATCCACTACATAATAGGTTACTCATTCAAAACTATTGGAAAAGCTGACCAAGGTGTCACTATTATTGTCTTTACATGTTAAATTTAAAAAAAAAAAAAGAGACTGTTACCATTGACTGTCTAATTGTGTTGGTACACGACTGAGACACAGCATCAAAGATGGCAAGCTCAGCACTGTCAGAGTTCACATGAGAATGGAATGTCAACAAATGATCCCCACCAGGGGCCAGCCACGCGTCACATGACAGCACCAGGGGCCAGCAGTGCCACACACGGTGGCACCAGGGGCAGGCGGTGTGTCGCGGCTGACCAGTGGAGGAAAATGTAGCAGAGGAATCAAATGAATAAAGTGAAGCAGATGAATCAAATGTAGCAGAGGAATGAAGTGAAGCAGAATGAAATGAACACAAAATGTAGATGGCAAATAATCACAACACTTTAGTTCCAGACTTGTGAAGAGAAAACAAGCCAGAGGTGTGCATCCTTGAGGCCCCATCCTACACACCCTTCAGGGAGGGCTCATTGTTGCTACAGGTTCGTTAGCTTCAAGTACACTCATAGGGAGCAATCATTGGAAAAATTAAAACTTAATAAAAAAAAACATCAGGGAACCTGTAGCTGACTGAATCTAGTGCAAAGTTCATAGGTCAAGAGAGAACATAATCAAGTATAAAAGACAAATAGCTGATGTAAAGAACACAAACAGTTTGTACATCTCTTGTGTTGCCATAAGTTACAAGTACCGAGGAATTATATCTCAAGGATTCAATTGGTAGACCTAATGGAAATAAAACAGGATATTGTACATATCACAAAAATACAACAATTTCAAACTCAACCAAGTTAAAGCTCTTAGAGTAAAGAGAAAAACAAAAACTTCTAGCAATATCTAACATTTAAAATCTTTATCATTCATTGTAGTAAAATCTCAAAATTTGGTCTTCCAAATTCAGGTAAAATATATCTGCGGTTTTATATAAAAGTGATCCAAGTTTGATTAAAGTAAAAATTCAAATATTTGTCAATATTAACATTTGTAAATAGAATAAAAAATCAAGCAAATAAAAAGTGTAAACAGTCTAAGATGGGTGTGGGTGATCAAATATAAATAAGAGTTGATATGGAAAAATAGGTGGGCTCATCAACTACACAATAACAGCAAGGCTGACACAAATAGAAAGCATTGAATTTAAGGAGGTTTACAGCAAACAAGTAGACACTAATACAGAGAATTGGGAGGGAGCACCTGACCACAGGCCAACACAACCGCACATCACCACAGCAGGCATGCATCTTAGAGACATCTCATCTCACTAGGGCAGGAGGTAAGGATAGAAGGAACATGGGGCTGTCGTGGGAACCAGAAGACTGGTCAATAGGACATGTAAAACAAGGTCTAGTGGGTTTGTCCACCATTATGTTAATGACTGGCTACAGATGCACCAAGCCTAGACACCATCAAGTGGACAAAATAGTTGCAGCACTGGGCCAGAGAATCGTTCAATAACCCTTCTAAGATGCATGCCTCAGCTTGTGTTCTACCCCCCCCCCCCCCCCCCCAAAGCTAGCTGTATTCCAATTGACCCCCCCCCCCAACCCAGCTAGTTGATTTTCCACGTGCCCCCCCCCCCCCCTCCCCCCAAGGTGCCTGTACAAACCTTCAATAAAAATACAAAAAACTTGCTGTAGTTGGATGTAAACCACAGAATAGACACTGACATCTGTGTGTGTTGGCTAACAAGAAAAACATTAATGCTACTTAGGACCACCACCCATGTCACCCGCAGGTCACAGACATTCATACCACTGACATGACATACACGTATATATATATATGTATAGATAACACACCCGTCCATTGGTATTTTACATGCTAAGGATTTAAATTAATTGACTTTTTACTGTCCAGTACAAGAATATGAACATCAATTCAGACCTTTGTATATATACACATTTAAAAAAGCAGATCTGTGGAAAATAGTTTGGTATCCTACGTATAACCATTGAAGGAATGGGAACAATATTAAAAAACTCAGTGAATCCATGGGACTTGTTGGACCAGAAATGCTGTCTGTCTGCTACTAATGAGGAATGTCATCTCCTGTCTTACTGGACAAGTCACATGAAAGGATGAAGTATGGAGCAACATCTCTCATCACACACATCATTCAAAACATAGCTGGGGAGGAACAATAGCACTTCTATCAGGCAAAGACTAGAACACATGTATCCACACCACACCACTATAACACATGTATCCACACCACACCACCATAACACATGCATCCACACCACACCACTATAACACATGTATCCACACCATACCACTGTAACACTTGTATCCACACCACTATAACACATGTATCCCACACCACTATAACACATGTATCCACATCACCCCACTATAACACATGTATCCACACCATACCACTATAAAACATATATCCACACCATACCACTATAACACATGTATCCACACCACTATAACACATGTATCCACACCACTATAACACATGTATCCACACCACTATAACACATGTATCCACACCATACCACTATAATACATGTATCCACACCATACCACTTTAACACATGTATCCCACACCACTATAACACATGTATCCACACCATACCACTATAACTCCATCCAATGCCATCATCATACATGTACACTCCATCAAACAGTAACACACGAGCACACTAAGACAAATGAAGCAGTGACTGACCATAGCACGGTGAGTTTCAAAAGCTTGTGTGGTCCCACTCTAACTCGTTGACACCTGGACCCTTGCCCTGGGGGGCGGGCTCCTCGTCCTCACTACTGTCCCCATAGTCCCCCTGCATGCTGCTCTCTTCATCCTCATCACTGTCACTGTCTTCAGGGAAGGTGGGCCTCGCACCATCCTCATACTCAAACATCTGAATAACAACAGCAACATTGATACAACTCTCTACATAATTTAACAACTACACTCATATGATCATACAAAAGCTGACAAATTTAAAGTAACAAATGCTAACATCTTCCCAGAATGAAGGTACAAACAGCCCCCCACCTACCCCTGACATGGCTAACTTCTACTTAAAGTTTACCAAATGTGCCACACTTTGAAGAAAGCTGCTAACTAGTTAAAAAAAATGTTTTTTACCAATTCCTTTCTCACCTCCTGCTCCATGGGGTTGATGGTTATATTTAGTGCTGAGTTATCCCACTCCATCTCCTGTTTCTCATCCACTTGAACCACCTGCGTGCGTTTGTGTGCAGCACGGATACGGATGACTCCCAACACAATCATGAACAGAAGAAAGCCAACACAAACCACAATGATGGCCACCATGCCCAGATCTGTGTGACAAAAGTTGATGACACTATCATCATATATAAAAGTTGACTACACTATCATTTATAAAAGTTGATGACACTATAATCTATATATATAATTCTCTTCTGGGATCAGTTAGAAAACAAGCTGCAAGCGCGCCTTTGCAGTCCCCTCTCTTCCTCTCTATCACTATCACTACCACCCTCACCCCACCCCCACATGATCTGGTGAGCGGTGTTCACTCTGTTTACATTTTACAATCATAGAGACGGGTTTGGTGACGGCTATTAGGGGCAGATAATTTAGTTTGAAACGATTTTAAACTTAGAGGAGGTAACTAAGAGGAGGCTGCTTTCACGTGGGGGGGGGGGGGGGGGGGGGGGTAGTGTTTTTAAGCAAATATTTTCAATGGCAGCATTGGTACTGTCGAATTCACAAATTATAAATTACTGAAAAGTAGAAAAAAACAACTAAATAGCGGCGTATGATACGCAGCGGGTCAGCTCGTCATATATAAAACTTGATGACACTATAATCATATATAAAAGTTGTTGACATTATAATCATTTATCTATGTTGTTGTCACTATGATCATTTGGTGGACACTAATGTTTATTGTAAGATATTTGTTTAAAACAGCTGGGGGCACTGGTCCATGAAATGCTAGATAGACTTACTTGAACTGGCAGCACCAACAGCATGAATACTATCAGAGCTTACACTATCATTTATAAAAGTTGGTGACACTAATGTTTATTGTAAGATATTTGTTTAAAACAGCTGGGAGCACTGGTCCATGAGATAGACTTACTTGAACTGGCAGCACCAACAGCATGAATACTATCAGAGCTTACACTATCATTTATAAAAGTTGGTGACACTAATGTTTATTGTAAGATATTTGTTTAAAACAGCTGGGAGCACTGGTCCATGAGATAGACTTACTTGAACTGGCAGCACCAACAGCATGAATACTATCAGAGCTTACACTATCATTTATAAAAGTTGGTGACACTAATGTTTATTGTAAGATATTTGTTTAAAACAGCTGGGAGCACTGGTCCATGAGATAGACTTACTTGAACTGGCAGCACCAACAGCATGAATACTATCAGAGCTTACACTATCATTTATAAAAGTTGGTGACACTAATGTTTATTGTAAGATATTTGTTTAAAACAGCTGGGAGCACTGGTCCATGAGATAGACTTACTTGAACTGGCAGCACCAACAGCATGAATACTATCAGAGCTTGGGTTCTTTAAGGACTGATGGATGCCCTGAGCATTGGACTGGATGTTTGCTGGACGGGGTGGGGGAGGGGCTTGGTGGACAGCAACCAGCTGCGGACAGAATAAATGGCCATAAAATGAGCTGGACATAGAAAACTATAGGGAGATGACACAAATTTTAAAGTCTAGTAACAAATAACCTAAAAATGTGGGAAAATGAAAGTAAATTTGAAAAACATACTCGCTCAATGAACTTGGTGCTAATGAAGCGCTGGTTTTGGCTTGAGCAGTAGAGGGTGAGGGTCCTGTTGGCCAACTCCTCAGGTTTGTTGTGATAGTAGTGAATGTTCCTGATGACATTTTCATAGTTGGGGATGGTGTCTGCATCTGGGGTACAGCACAAAATCACTAGCTTTTATAAAATACATATTTTAAATATAAAAGTGACAGTAAATTCTTGACTAAAATAAGCCTGTCCTGCACAGACTGGAGTAAGGCAAGGTTGTCTACTTTCACCATTCCTGTTCCTGCTGGCCATAGACTGTATACAGTATACAGTGGACACTGTGGAGCCAGCTGGATGACCTGGCCCTTCTTTCTCACACACAACAGCAAATGCAAGATAAAACCAACAATCTTTTTCTACATGCCTGGGCCTGAACAGCCACAGAGCAATGTTCCCTCTAAGAGTAAAAAGCTAGGGTGCATAAGGTACTTAGTTTGCACAGTGTTCTAAAAAGTCTTATACAAGGATATATATCTTTTTCAAAATGACTGTGCAGCAGTTCAAAACTACTGCGCGGCCGCACAACCGCGCAGCTTAGAGGGAACATTGCCACAGAGGGAAATGTTGAGTTCTCAAAGTCAATGCATCAAGCAGCAACATTGGCAGAAGAAGCCCTAGAAGAAGTGGATAGATTCACCTACCTTGGAAGTAGTGCTGATAAGCAGGGCGGGACAAAAACAGACATAAAAATAAGGAAGGGCAAGGCAAGAGCAGTCTTCAAGCAACTAAAAAAATGTTTGGGGTTCTGGAGACCATTGGAATAAAAACCCAGATCTTTTACCTGTTTGACTCTATTGAGCTGAGACATGGAGAATAACTGCTATAAATAACAAGAAAATATTTATAAATTCATGCCTCAGAAAGTGAGACATGGAGAATAACTGCTATAAATAACAAGAAAATATTATCATTTATAAACTCATGCCTCAGAAAGATCCTGTGAATTTACTGGCCTAAAACCATCAGAAATGATGTTCTAAGGCAATGGACAAATCAACTGCCAGCTGAAGTAGAGATCCTCCAGAGAAAATGGAAATGGATTGGCCACACACTCAGGAAGCCTGTATCCAACAGAACAAGATAGGCCCTCACCTGGAATCCACAGGGCAGGAGGAGGAGAGGCAGACCAAGAAAGACCTGGAGACGTGACCTGGAAGAAGACACCGAGAAGATTGGATACACCTCGGGAGACTAGCCCTGGACAGAGACGCCTGGAAAGCTCTTGTCAGTGGCCTGTCCCAGGAGGGGCGACAGGCAAACCTAACATAGATGAGTCTAGGTGCAGCAATGGCTGTATTAACCTACTTGAAACAACCATTACTGATGTGGAATGTAAACCTCATAACTGAGTTGAAGCCATGGTTATCATCTGATTACTTTACATAGTCCCATGAATGTGTGATTACTTACTTCGAATGACAACCCCATCATTGGTTTCACTCCACTCTAAACCATGTATCTCCATTAGATGGGTTGGTAGAGAGAGATGTTCAATGAAAAGGTTGAGTGGAGGATCAGCCTTGACATGGCACTCATCAATCATAAACTCATCGTCTTTCTGCTCAGTTGATTCTGTCACATAAATGTACACAAGTTAGATGGAACAATCAAACATTGATCTTACTGGCACACAAATGTACACAAGTTAGATGGACAATCAAACATTGATCTAACTGTCACATAAATGTTTACAAGTTAGATGAAATTCAAAAGAGACCAATCATTCTGGTGAGCTATGCTGATATTTGATCACTTACGCTGGAGCATTGTCTTTGAGAGTTTCAACGCCAGCTTGGCAGCCTTGACAGCTTCGTCATCCTGCCCCTCCTGACTGTCAGCTGCTAGCTCCTCCAGGGGCTGGGAGCGGGCAAAGATGTGGATGTCATGGAAAACCCTGAGGCCTCTCTCAAACTCATAGACCATGCGGGTCAGGTTAGAGTAGCCTGTGATCACAAACACTGGCTCCTGCTGCTCCTGCACCAGGATTTTCTTCTCCAGGAGGGGGAGGACCACAGTCTGGCCTTCACAGCTGGGGACAGGAAACACAAACACCCAATCATACAGGAGCAATTAGAGGTAACTCAGCTGGGGACAGGAAACACAAACACCCAATCATACAGGAGCAATTAGAGGTAACTCAGCTGGGGACAGGAAACACAAACACCCAATCATACAGGAGCAATTAGAGGTAACTCAGCTGGGGACAGGAAACACAAACAACCAATCATACAGGAGCAATTAGAGGTAACTCAGCTGGGGACAGGAAACACAAACACCCAATCATACAGGAGCAATTAGAGGTAACTCAGCTGGGGACAGGAAACACAAACAACCAATCATACAGGAGCAATTAGAGGTAACTCAGCTGGGGACAGGAAACACAAACACCCAATCATACAGGAGCAATTAGAGGTAACTCAGCTGGGGACAGGAAACACAAACACCCAATCATACAGGAGCAATTAGAGGTAACTCAGCTGGGGACAGGAAACACAAACACCCAATCATACAGGAGCAATTAGAGGTAACTCAGCTGGGGACAGGAAACACAAACAACCAATCATACAGGAGCAATTAGAGGTAACTCAGCTGGGGACAGGAAACACAAACACCCAATCATACAGGAGCAATTAGAGGTAACTCAGCTGGGGACAGGAAACACAAACACCCAATCATACAGGAGCAATTAGAGGTAACTCAGCTGGGGACAGGAAACACAAACAACCAATCATACAGGAGCAATTAGAGGTAACTCAGCTGGGGACAGGAAACACAAACACCCAATCATACAGGAGCAATTAGAGGTAACTCAGCTGGGGACAGGAAACACAAACACCCAATCATACAGGAGCAATTAGAGGTAACTCAGCTGGGGACAGGAAACACAAACACCCAATCATACAGGAGCAATTAGAGGTAACTCAGCTGGGGACAGGAAACACAAACAACCAATCATACAGGAGCAATTAGAGGTAACTCAGCTGGGGACAGGAAACACAAACACCCAATCATACAGGAGCAATTAGAGGTAACTCAGCTGGGGACAGGAAACACAAACACCCAATCATACAGGAGCAATTAGAGGTAACTCAGCTGGGGACAGGAAACACAAACACCCAATCATACAGGAGCAATTAGAGGTAACTCAGCTGGGGACAGGAAACACAAACACCCAATCATACAGGAGCAATTAGAGGTAACTCAGCTGGGGACAGGAAACACAAACACCCAATCATACAGGAGCAATTAGAGGTAACTCAGCTGGGGACAGGAAACACAAACACCCAATCATACAGGAGCAATTAGAGGTAACTCAGCTGGGGACAGGAAACACAAACACCCAATCATACAGGAGCAATTAGAGGTAACTCAGCTGGGGACAGGAAACACAAACACCCAATCATACAGGGGCAATTAGAGGTAACTCAGCTGGGGACAGGAAACACAAACACCCAATCATACAGGGGCAATTAGAGGTAACTCAGCTGGGGACAGGAAACACAAACACCCAATCATACAGGAGCAATTAGAGGTAACTCAGCTGGGGACAGGAAACACAAACACCCAATCATACAGGAGCAATTAGAGGTAACTCAGCTGGGGACAGGAAACACAAACACCCAATCATACAGGAGCAATTAGAGGTAACTCAGCTGGGGACAGGAAACACAAACACCCAATCATACAGGGGCAATTAGAGGTAACTCAGCTGGGGACAGGAAACACAAACACCCAATCATACAGGGGCAATTAGAGGTAACTCAGCTGGGGACAGGAAACACAAACACCCAATCATACAGGAGCAATTAGAGGTAACTCAGCTGGGGACAGGAAACACAAACACCCAATCATACAGGAGCAATTAGAGGTAACTCAACTGGGGACAGGAAACACAAACAACCAATCATACAGGAGCAATTAGAGGTAACAGTGCTATAGAGTGCTGTTGGGACAGACAGTAGACAGGCCAAGTACTCACAGAAGAGATGTTTCTATGTTGAGTATCCTGTGTCCAGGTGTGGGGTAGGTGCGAGCGTTGACGTAAGCCACCTGTGCCATCAGCCTGTTGACCTCCTCAATGCTGCGACTGCTGATGGTGAACTCTGTCATCTCACTGTTGAAGCTGACACTCTGCAACAAGGAAACAACAATAGTCATCAGCAGGCTGGACTATGTGTTCAACTGTAGACAAGAGAACAAGGGCCAGGACTCACAGTTCCACTAGACATGTCACCAACAGCGTGGAAGTCCAGATTCTCCTTGCAGTTGTTCAAACATTTGATGACCCTCTCACTCTCTGTTTTACCCTTCAAGACAAACAGTCCAGCCATGTAGCCTTTGTAGTAGTGGCTGAATGTGTTCTCTGCCCCTGCACAAACAAACAATACATCAAGTCAAACTAACTGACTTTATAGAAGAGAGACATCATAGAAACTATTTGATGTAGATAGACATTAAGGAAACAAAGGGATGTTGAGAAGACCAATGTTTGAGTGAGTTCTTACCTTGCCAGCAGGCACCAACTGTCAGCTTAGTGCCGTGGACCTTCTTAGTTTTATGCAGTGGCCAGTCATCAATGATCTCAAAGTTACTATCATCAGTCTGCAGTAGTTTCCCATCAATGTAAAGGTGAACCTTCAAACAAACAAAAAATCTCATGTAAAAATGTGAGTGCTGACAGCCCATGTGTCAGGCTGAACAAGAGAATGTGAGCCAAGTGTTTTGATAAAGTCCAGCACAAAGTGAACAAGAGAATGTGAGCCAAGTGTTTTGATAAAGTCCAGCATAAAGTGAACAAGAGAATGTGAGCCAAGTGTTTTGATAAAGTCCAGCATAAAGTGAACAAGAGAATGTGAGCCAAGTGTTTTGATAAATTTCCTTACCCCGCCATCTTTACTCTCCTCCTGCAGGTCAACACTGACGGCAAAATGATGCCACCTGTCATCTGACACCTGGGGGATGGTCCACCTGAACTCAGCAGGCCTGAAGACTTTCATCTCCTCAGGTGATTGGACGTCTTCAGCTTCCTTACGCAGCAGGAGGACCAGCTTCTTCCCGTGGATGTACAGCCCGTAGTGGTGTCTGTTCATACCTGGAGGATAAACAAATAGCATACATCACCAGCTCCAGCTTGACAAGACATACATTTCCTGGTTGAGAATGGCGGGCACGTACCATCACTGTCGGACATACACAGGATGTGTTCTTTGGGAGGTTTGCTTTGGTTAGCTACTGGCATCTCCTCATGCCTCAGCCAGGCAGAAATGGTGAAGTGCTTGTGGAGCATGTGGTTGAACACAGACTCAGGAACTTCCAGAGCGTTGGTCACCCCATCAAATGAGAAGACTTGGTCCATCTCATGACCGTCATCAGTGGGGATGTTGTGGGACCAATCAGCACTGCTGGGTGAGGGCAGGAGGTCAACACTATCACCACTGGCACCTGCTTAGTGCAAACAATGGGCATTAGAGTCACTAATGGAAACACAGGTTCTAATTAGAACATTCAACAAAAAACAAACAAAAAACTGCTGAGAAAAACAATTGTAATATACTGAACTGTGTCTGAATAAATACACACCACAAAGTTTCCTTTGAGAGTTGACAGAATATGTGTCACGATCACATCCTTTGCCAATGTGTTTGGTAGTCAGGGTGAGCTTGACATTGACCTGGGCTGGTTTACAGTCATTGTCACACAGCTGAAGTGTGGCTCCCTCAGCAAGTCTTTGTTGGCCTGAGCCAGCTCTGTACTTGATCACATCCTGCAGGCCAACCCACCCACTCCGGCACTTCTCTTTCACTGTCAGGTTGATGTACACTGGCTCGGATTTACGACCTCCACAATCAGTGGCAACAGCCTAAATAAAACATCACAGAATTACAACAAAATCACAGGCAATAGCCTGAATAAAACATCACAGAATTACAACAAAATCACAGGCAATAGCCTGAATAAAACATCACAGAATTACAACAAAATCACAGGCAATAGCCTGAATAAAACATCACAGAATTACAACAAAATCACAGGCAATAGCCTGAATAAAACATCACAGAATTACAACAAAATCACAGGCAATAGCCTGAATAAAACATCACAGAATTACAACAAAATCACAGGCAATAGCCTGAATAAAACATCACAGAATTACAACAAAATCACAGGCAATAGCCTAAATAAAACATCACAGAATTACAACAAAATCACAGGCAATAGCCTGAATAAAACATCACATAATTACTATCACAAAATCACAGGCAACAGCTTAAATGCATCACATATTTCCAGAAATTAAAGACAAAAAACACAGCACAAGAAAATTTAATCTGAAAAAGTTAACTTACCCCAAGAATAAAGTTTCTGTGTATGCTGTAGTCTAAAGGCTCTTTATTTCTCACTATACCTTCATTTGTGATTTCAAAAGGTACATTAGGAGTTATCAGCTCATAGCTACAGATGGTTTTGAAAGAACTTGACTCATCTAGATCAGTTGCATGGATTTTTACAATGGTATCATAAATCCTATCCTCCTCAACAGTAGCGAAATATGAGTCATTGTCAAACTTGGGGGCAAATTCATCTACATCTAGGACTTTAATCATAACATAAGCCCTATGGGTGGAGGGAAAAAAATGACATAGCATAAAACTCAGCTGAAAATTTGTGAAGCTATTTTAAGACTGAACCAGGAAGACTATAGGGCCTACATACTTTGTGGACTGTTTTGGTGGAGTCCCACAATCCTCAGCAACAATGCTGAACTTGTAGAAGGGCTGCTCCTCGTAGTTGAGTCTCTCCCCTTCTTTCACTCTAATCTCTGCAGCACCAGTTACTTTGTCTGTCACAACAATCTCAAATGGTAGAGGATTTGATCTAGGGTGGCGTTTACTTTTGGCAATAATGTAATTGCAAATGTATTCTGAAAAAGTAGATAATTGTATTGAGTATCAGGAGAAAAGAGTTGTAACAATGAACAAAGTAGCAGATAAGTTGTGACTACAGGAGAAAAAGAGTTGCAACAATGAACAAAGTAGCAGATAAGTTGTATAGCTGACTACAGGAGAAAAAGAGTTGCAACAATGAACAAAGTAGCAGATAAGTTGTATATCTGACTACAGGAGAAAAGAGTTGCAACAATGAACAAAGTAGCAGATAAGTTGTGACTACAGGAGAAAAGAGTTGTAACAATGAACAAAGTAGCAGATAAGTTGTATATCTGACTACAGGAGAAAAGAGTTGTAACAATGAACAAAGTAGCAGATAAGTTGTATATCTGACTACAGGAGAAAAGAGTTGCAACAATGAACAAAGTAGCAGATAAGTTGTGACTACAGGAGAAAAGAGTTGTAACAATGAACAAAGTAGCAGATAAGTTGTGACTACAGGAGAAAAGAGTTGTAACAATGAACAAAGTAGCAGATAAGTTGTGACTACAGGAGAAAAGAGTTGTAACAATGAACAAAGTAGCAGATGTTGTATAGCTGACTACAGGACTTAACAACTCACTTGCTCCACCCATCTCGTCGGGGTCGCTGGCCAAGAGGTCAGGCTTGAGCTGCACAACTCTCTCATTCTCCTTCACTTCTCCGTGGAATGCAGGTTTATCATGTTCCATTAGCTTGGACCATATTACAGGTTTGAAGCGGTTGGGTTCTGATTCAACAAAACAAAAAGGTATTTAATTCAAATTTTTAAAAAACCCACCAGAAACAATTAATAATCCTCTCACTTCAACTAAACATTTTTAACCAGGAGTAATTTTTGTGAGTTAGCACTGATGGCATCTGCCCAGAATAGTACTGACATTCATGAAGTGATTAAAATTTATTATGTGACTTTACAAGCCCAAAACTTTATTGCTTATTACTTTATTTTGTACAGATTCCAGGGTATAATTTAGGCTTGATGAATGAAGTTAGAAATGTAGCCTTAAAAACTAAAAAACTGTTTTCAAGATCTCTACATTTTACAACTTTTATACTATTGCTTCATAAAATATTAGCAATTCTCATTGAAGTTTAAATTAAATTATTCCCTAATTTAACCTATTCAATTGCAAAGTTTATCCTTTATAAGATAACAAAACACAAAAATTAAGGCCTAAAACTGCTTAGTTCAAAAATATAGGCCTCTATGCTTCAGAATAAGTTAAGTCATAAATATGATGGCATCAACCAAAAATAGAATCACAAAAACAAGGAATATATTTCAAAATAAATGTCATAAATATGTTAGTTATACATTAGCGCAGCTTTACATTTAGATGGCAAACCTATGAGCTTAAAATTCAGCTGACTTATTTAAAGCAGAAAGAAATTGTGATTCTTACTTTTGGACTAAAACTGCACAATTTTTACTAGCAAAAAAAGTCAGATGATTCACTTATTTATAGTCTCGCATTCAAATCACTACGAGATTCACTAATCAGCAATCTGAGCAGTTGTATTCATTTGTTGTCGAAAGGACCCTAAAAATATGTAACTGCCGTAAGAAACCAGAGCCAGAGCGAGACATTTCACTGTAAAAAGTCTCTTCTGGATTTGCAGACTAAAATATTACATTTAAAAAAAAAATTTCAAGCTTTTCCAGCAGATATGAAATCAAATTGATTAGCTCTAGGTCTACCTATATCTACATCTATCTAGATAAAACATAGATTAGAATTAAAGGTAATCTATTGTTTTAGGTACGCAAAATCGGCCAAGACTAGAAATGTGAAAAAGGGCGACTCACTAAATTTTTATAACTTTTTCACATTTTAAGGAGGATTTTTGTTTTAATTGTTACAAAATATACCTGTTTTAAACAATTATATTATAACTTTCAGTAAAAATAAATAAAGACTAGCAATGTTTTCATCAGGTACAACCAAGCTCATTTACTTTAGCAGCCATCTTGTTTAAGTTTTTTTGTAAAATTATAGTTAGAGATTCAGTGGAAACCACTCTAACTTTCAGATGGCCAATGTTTATATAGCAAATCTTGCTCACAAACACTGTTGTTTAAAGTGAATTTCTGGCCTATATTGATAAATTAAGCCATTGATTTTTGTTTATTATTCAGTTATCTATAGGCCTAATATTTGACACAAATATATCACAATGTAGGTCCTACTTCTATTAAAGTGAGGCAACTTTTTCGCACATTACTAGCCTCAACCGATTGTATGCACCTAAAGCGATAGATTAACTAATTAAATTAGAACAGATAGCTGATAGATGCTAGATGATATTGGGTCTGTTTAATTATTAGGCCTAAGCCTATTTGGATTTTGATCCCTATTCGGGCAATTGAAGATACAGATGTCCGATAAATGCGATAATAGACTCTTCCGAAAATAGGTGTGGTAGGTTGTTCGTAATATTGTTAGGCCTAGTATTAAGCCTATAAATTGTTAGAAATTAGGGTTGGGAGTATGGTAGGACTAGGGTTGGGGTTAGGGATAGCGGGAGAATTTTTATACGAGTGTCCGATAATAGAACCTTCTTTAAAAAAGGGGTGTTAGGTTATTGGTAGTTAACTAGGCCTAAATACAATAGGCCTACACACATTGCTGGCTAATGTCAATGCTGACCCTGTTCCAAACCATACGCCTAACCCTAATTTCTACCCATAAAATTAATCAAGATTACAATACTACTACTAACAACCCAACACCCCTATTTTAGTATTTTATGGAAGAGTCTATTATCGGACATCAGTACTAGATCTAGATCTACAACAGTACAGTACAGTAGGCCTATCTAAAATCATCCAGGACAGCATTAGGCCTAGCAATTATATTTTAGTTAACTATCCAGTAACCCAGCACACCTTTAAGAAGATTCTATAATTATTGGACACCAGTATCTTCAATCATCCCTTGATTCAAGTTTATTCTTTTAAGATTTTGGTTCTTAATCTTAGCAAAGTTTTAATTGAAGTATTTTTTTAAGGATAGGCCCAACCCTAGCAGTCTAGTCTGGATGTTTCTTAGTACACTGAACTGACACATTAAGAGACTGCCTATAAACATAGATCTAGATTCTATATCTAAAGTCTAAACTAGATCTAGATTAAGAATTAGATCTAATAGTACGACGAGTCGTCTACTGACCAGGCTCTAACCGGGGAGATGATTAGATCGGACAAGATGAAGAAACTGGAACAAGAATTTATTTTAAAATAATCAATTTTGCCTACCTGAAAGCGATGAAGCATAGGGTACGATGACAATGGCTAAGATAATCAGATTGAATTTCGCCATTGTCAATTAAAATAACAGTTGTTCGTAGACCACTGAGGTCCTTATGAATACTGTTCACAGACACTACCCTGTGTAATTCTTTGATCTCCTGTACGGACAATGCACAACAAATATGGCTGCACTTTGTGAATGTTAATGAATTACCATGACGTCATTTATTTTCTACCGAAAGTATCAATTATTTAGCTAGTAGAATTGTTACTGTTAGGATTAGAAAATCCCCTTTTCCTATTTAAAACTAAATCTACTTTTTACACACTAAATGTGCCTTGTACTTCATTTTTAATGACAGAAAAACAAGAATATTTTCGTTTTATTTTCTTATTCGAGGGGTAGTGTTCAATACATTCAAGATCCGGAAGTAGCGAAAGAATGGCGGAAGTGAAAATGAAAACAATCCAGCTGTATAAAAATACCAAAAATGAAACTTGGAACTTTTAACTTTGATAAATAAAATTAAAACATACCGCGATTGGTAGATCTAGAATCTATATAGTAGTATATAGATCTATTTGTGATTGATAGAGTACTAATTTAATATCAGACTAGATAGATCTAGATTCTAGAGATCTAGATCTAGTAGAATCTAGCTAGATCTAGTTAAGAAGAGTCTTTACGACTATTACTTTAGTTTTTAGACACTTTTAGTGTCTTTTAGTAGGTACTGTACTCTTTAGTTAGATTCTAGAGTTCTAGACTATCATTCAAGGGGTCTTCTTACTCACAGTGACAAAGTTACTCTAACCTAACTTTACTAATTACTAGATCTAGACTTTACTAACTTAACTATTACTACTAATATTCATAATTCATAACAGTTTTAAGTTTTATCTTAAGAAGACTTTAAGAAGACTAATGCATGATGTTGGTGTTAGTCACTAACAGTTAGATTAGTTAGATCTAGTAACTGTTAGTGTTAGGACTTGACTAGAATCTTAATCTTTCTTGAATTCTTAAAAATCTTAGCCATTTCCTACTTCATTTTAGTTTTAGTGACTAGACTAGGTTTTGTTATAAATATTATAATGCTATATTAGTATATTATAATAATTAACTTTTATGTTAGATTACAGTTAGATCTAGTAAAGTCTAGTTGACTGGTCAAAATCTCCATCAAATCAATTGAAATAATGACAGTCTGCTTTAGTCTACTCACCATCTCCAGATATAGATGGACTTGCAGCACCACCATTTAACATTTTTACTTTTGCTGTTTATTTAAAATATATTGGACATATTTTATGTTTAATTTTATTGTATTTTAAAATAATTTTTTTTTTTTTATTAACAGAATAGATCAAGTGCCAAGAAATGAGATTTTTATACTGCTGGAGACTGCTTCTCCACCTGGCTTTGCTGAGTTTGTCAACATCACTGATGGCCTGGGGTATGCCATGTCCCAAGCAGTGCAGTTGTCTTGAAGAAAACAAGGGACCAGAAATGAAATGTAGTGTGTCCAGTTCCAGCCAATGGACCAGCATGTGCCGTGAGATTAAAATGGTGAAAAACCCTGAGACCATCCGACTAACTCTGGCTGGACATTCTATCCATTTCATCAGCAGGATCAACTGTCTTCCCGAGGTCCTTAGTCTAGACCTCTCCAACACTCTCCTTGTTCTGAAACCTAGAATGTTTACTGGGCTCAAAGTTTCCAACTTGTTTCTCAGCTCCAATTCTATAAAACAGATCCCAGCTCAAACTTTTCTTGGGCTGGAAGGTTTGAAAGGACTAGATCTATCCTGGAATCATATTGAATCTGTAGAGTCACTTTTCCATCTAAAATCTCTTTCAGTCTTGGATCTAAGCCACAATCTCATCAATTCTTTGAGCCTTGACTCTTTTTCTGGGCTTTCCTCTTTAAAAAGTTTAAATTTAAAAAATAATTCTCTTGAAGATTTTGCTTTAGGCATGTTATTAAACACCCCTAGTCTAGAGCTGTTGAACTTGCAGAACAATCTGTTGCGTACATTCTACTTGTCTGAGAATGAAACTGAGGATCTGGTTATACACAGTATGAAGTCTATAGATCTCTCAGGAAATCCTCTTGAGTGCTCTTGTGTAGTTGGCCAGTTGATGAAAAAGTTATCAAGTTTAACAGTTTTACAAAACCCTTTTGAAACAACGTGTCAAACACCAAAATCACTGCTTGGTAAAGCTATCACTACACTAGATGGCAACTTGTTTAACTGCTCAGTGCCTAAAGAGGTTCTCAGCCACCCCATCTCTGGCACACAAGTTCTAGCCATGAGTCATGTTAGCTTGAAGTGCACAGCCCAGGGCTACCCTCAGCCCTCCATCATGTGGGTTACCCCCTGGGGCCACGCCTTCTGTGAACAGTCCAAGCTGTATCAGCTGAGGGGGGTTGACCTAGCAGCACTGGGAGCCACCAAGGTGTACACCAGCAGGGATTACCAAGAGCCAAGTATTATCTATAAAGGCAGCGTCTACCTGGAGCCTGACGATACGCTGGTCATCACAAAGTTCCGCGGCAGCATGGCAGGTAACTTCACCTGCTTTGCCTTCAATGTAGCGGGCAACTCCTCCCTGGAAGTTTACGCGCCAGTGTTTGGCCTGGTGGAGGCCACGTTTTTCCAGAGTTTGTTTATGGCTGGGTACTGCACCTCAGCTTTCCTCATCTTAGGTCTGCTGGTGGGGCTAGCAAACATGGTAGCCAGCAAGTGCAAGCACAGATACTACTTCACTGTGCCACTCTTCTCCAAGTCCAACTCCATCCAGCATCAAGATAATAACAGTTGTATTTTATCATCCAATGAAGGCTCCAGTGGAAGCTCTGAGAAAGATGGCTCCGTGTCATCCCGTCTCCTTATCCACAGAGATGGGGAGGAGCCGCTGGATGATGCTGGGGATGGTAGCCACAGTCCCAAAACCTGGAGGCCGCAGCTGTTGGGGACTCTAGAGGATGCCAGGGGGAGGCTCAAGTACGGAGTCGGCCGCAAAATGGAGCGTGTGCGCAAAAATGTGCAATACATCAAGGAAAGCGGCAGTGTCTATGTGCACAGTATTGTAGAGTCAGGCAGCACGGCAGCCAGGCACATGAAAGCTGGAGTTGTGCTGGGCGTGGAGACAGTCAAATGCCACGTGCAGTCCTTCAAGGAGCTGTGTGGTACTGGTGATATGGGCACCCAGACCATCTCCATGGTCTCTGTGGAGACAGACGTAGACTCGAACCAGCGCAAGGAGATCATCAAGCAAGTAACTTTTGTATAGCCAGAGTTTGGTTTTCCTTTTGTGCCATTTAGTTGATACTGCTGATATTTTATTGCTTCCAAATATATGCTATTGTTGCAAACACACATTCATTTATTTTACACTATACATGTGACTGCTTTTATTCTTAGATTCTAGTAAAATTCCTGGTAAGGTATAATTATTATAAATTATCTTGTCCTTTAAATGGTGATATGGCCAGATCTGTGAATGTCTTATGATACAAGCCAAACCTAGCATTGATTTGGCCTAACAAACAAACAATGCCCTGACTGGCAATAGTGCCCTGAAACCAATAATTTAAAAACAAATTACCATATGGGGTACCTGCAGATCTGGAGACCACAGTCCAGTTCATCCACAAACTTTTTGTTAAATCCTCCACCATAAACTAAATTAAGAACACAGAAAAAGAAGAAGAAAAAACAAATTCCTTAATTTAAACTTTTTAAAATTAATTTATTAATCTAGTGAAAAAAGTTTTACACAACTTTGAATTAATAAATAACAATTTAAAATCTATTGTTTGTATGATTATATTAGATGTTTTCAATATTCAAAGACATAAAAATATTGATAATCATTTAGATGAATTTTCTTATTTAATTAATAATGTAAAATCAAAATTTAAATAACAAATTAACATATCTATATATAAAATGTATTTGTTTTGTCCTATGTGCTATTGTGTTTGATATCAACTGAGCTTGTCCATTGAAATTTTTGCCTTAAGACTGTTTTATTGCTAGCCATCTAGCTACTGCTTATGGAGGAGAAATTATTTTAAAATTATTTATTCAAGCCAATGTAGCCACCCTAGATCAAATGCTCAGATATATGTAGATGTTTTTTTTATACAATAATGCCATTGCATATATATTTTTACATTCCTTAAACTGCTTTACTTATTTATATATGAAGATATATTTTTAAAAATTGTAAAACATATCAAATTAAGGTTGCCACAAGTTTGGACAGGTATAAGAACAGAATTTTTGTTTTTGTGTACATATTATTTACTAGATATACACCCTTATACTCTACTGTAAATATTTAACAGTTTTTACGCTGCTTCCATACCCTTCCACTTAATGATAACGCTAATTTAATATTAATTATCAAACAATTATAATTGCTTGAATGAAAAACAAAATTGTAAAATAAAAGCGTAAAATACAGCGATGCAAAAAAAGACTTTTAACTTTTGGCCCAAGTCAGAAGTGGCCATATAAACCACAATAATAGCAAGAAACTATGAAGTGATATTGACATTACCATATGTCGTGTTTCATTTCTAATATTTTCTTAAGGATTTTCCTTCGCAGGATTTAAACTACTGCAGTAACGTTAAACTGTATACCTGACTGTGTTTTTGTCTATCAGTTTTTCAGGGCATCCGAAGTTGTAGCAATTCACGAATCAAGCTAAGTGTTGCCCTCTACCCCACCTGGGATTTGAAGCAACATGTTTGCTCTGTTTACCTCCACTTGATACATCCTCTGTCTGCGTCATTCTGTCTTTGGTCAATTCAACTTATTGCCAGGCTTCAATTTGTTTCTTAACTGTCAACTTAATATAAATAATGACATATTCTAAACTTATGTACTAAACTAAAAGTATTAGATTTAAATTTTAAAATTTTTTTTTTTATATAAGTGGAAATTATTTTTTATATAATTGTTTACAGTCCATCTCTAGAAAACAGCTGTTTGAAAGATAATAAACATTGTTTACAGTCCATCTCTAGAAAACAGCTGTTTGAAAGATAATAAACATTGTTTACAGTCCATCTCTAGAAAACAGCTGTTTGAAAGATAATAAACAATTTTTACAGTCCATCTCTAGAAAACAGCTGTTTGAAAGATAATAAACATTGTTTACAGTCCATCTCTAGAAAACAGCTGTTTGAAAGATAATAAACATTGTTTACATATTGTTACATGTTGGTGTGAGTGCTGCTCCCTACAGATGGGTCATACCTCTTTAGGTTAGCAAAAAATAGATGAAGGAAGGCAGACATGATAAGATCTCCTTACTTTTTTCTGAGGAAGATCATCAAAGCACAATTATGATTTTTATGTCTTGAAAACACATTTTAAGCCAATCACATTTGATGATCTAAATATAGACACATCAAATAACAGCTTTGTATCAGCAATATTGGAATATGTTTTTTGTTCCTTGACTGCTTAGCTCTGGATATTTTTCATGACTACTGTCTTACTTTATGTTGACCATGAGTCCATTTTATGTGTCATGTAATTTTGTCAATGACCCCCACTACCTGTAACAATATGTTGACCATGACCCCTCTACCTGTAACATTATGTTGACCATGACCCCATGTATACCCGTAACATTATGTTGACCTTGACCCCCTCTACATGTAACATTATGTTGACCATGACCCCTCTACCTGTAACATTATGTTGACCATGACCCCTCTACCTGTAACATTATGTTGACCATGACCCCTCTACCTGTAACATTATGTTGACCATGACCCCTCTACCTGTAACATTATGTTGACCATGACCCCTCTACCTGTAACATTATGTTGACCATGACCCCCCTCTACCTGTAACATTATGTTGACCATGACCCCTCTACCTGTAACATTATGTTGACCATGACCCCCCTCTACCTGTAACATTATGTTGACCATGACCCCCTGTATACCCGTAACATTATGTTGACCATGACCCCTCTACCTGTAACATTATGTTGACCATGACCCCTCTACCTGTAACATTATGTTGACCATGACCCCCTGTATACCTGTAACATTATGTTGACCATGACCCCTCTACCTGTAACATTATGTTGACCATGACCCCTCTACCTGTAACATTATGTTGACCATGACCCCTCTACCTGTAACATTATGTTGACCATGACCCCTCTACCTGTAACATTATGTTGACCATGACCCCCTGTATACCTGTAACATTATGTTGACCATGACCCCTCTACCTGTAACATTATGTTGACCATGACCCCTCTACCTGTAACATTATGTTGACCATGACCCCTCTACCTGTAACATTATGTTGACCATGACCCCTCTACCTGTAACATTATGTTGACTATGACCCCATGTATACCCGTAACATTATGTTGACCATGACCCCCATGTATACCCGTAACATTATGTTGACCATGACCCCTCTACCTGTAACATTATGTTGACCATGACCCCCTGTATACCTGTAACATTATGTTGACTATGACCCCTCTACCTGTAACATTATGTTGACCATGACCCCCTGTATACCTGTAACATTATGTTGACTATGACCCCTCTACCTGTAACATTATGTTGACCATGACCCCTCTACCTGTAACATTATGTTGACCATGACCCCTCTACCTGTAACATTATGTTGACCATGACCCCATGTATACCCGTAACATTATGTTGACCTTGACCCCTCTACCTGTAACATTATGTTGACTATGACCCCTCTACCTGTAACATTATGTTGACCATGACCCCTCTACCTGTAACATTATGTTGACCATGACCCCTCTACCTGTAACATTATGTTGACCATGACCCCATGTATACCCGTAACATTATGTTGACCATGACCCCTCTACCTGTAACATTATGTTGACCATGACCCCATGTATACCCGTAACATTATGTTGACCATGACCCCTCTACCTGTAACATTATGTTGACCATGACCCCTCTACCTGTAACATTATGTTGACCATGACCCCCTGTATACCTGTAACATTATGTTGACCATGACCCCCTGTATACCTGTAACATTATGTTGACTATGACCCCATGTATACCCGTAACATTATGTTGACTATGACCCCATGTATACCCGTAACATTATGTTGACCATGACCCCTCTACCTGTAACATTATGTTGACCATGACCCCATGTATACCCGTAACATTATGTTGACCATGACCCCTCTACCTGTAACAATATGTTGACCATGACCCCTCTACATGTAACATTATGTTGACCATGACCCCATGTATACCCGTAACATTATGTTGACCATGACCCCTCTACCTGTAACATTATGTTGACTATGACCCCATGTATACCCGTAACATTATGTTGACTATGACCCCATGTATACCCGTAACATTATGTTGACCATGACCCCTCTACCTGTAACATTATGTTGACTATGACCCCATGTATACCCGTAACATTATGTTGACCATGAACCCTCTACCTGTAACATTATGTTGACCATGACCCCATGTATACCCGTAACATTATGTTGACCATGACCCCTCTACCTGTAACAATATGTTGACCATGACCCCTCTACCTGTAACATTATGTTGACCATGACCCCATGTATACCCGTAACATTATGTTGACCATGACCCCTCTACCTGTAACATTATGTTGACCATGACCCCATGTATACCCGTAACATTATGTTGACCATGACCCCTCTACCTGTAACATTATGTTGACCATGACCCCATGTATACCTGTAACATTATGTTGACCATGACCCCTCTACCTGTAACATTATGTTGACCATGACCCCATGTATACCCGTAACATTATGTTGACCATGACCCCTCTACCTGTAACAATATGTTGACCATGACCCCTCTACATGTAACATTATGTTGACCATGACCCCTCTACCCATGACATTATGTTGACAACGACCCCTCTACCTGTAACATTATGTTGACCATGACCCGTATATACCCATACCATTTTGTTGAAAATGACCCATGTATACCCGTAACATGTTGATTTGTCTCCTCCTTGTCATGTTTACTTCTAGCTATAATGTTTACATTGGCTCAAGCTTATTTGACAGAAACATATTACATTTTGATAGATGTTTTATTAAAGTTAGAAGTGAACTGATTTTTTGTTATGATTTCTTTTTTAAACATCCCAGTGTTTTCATGCTTCCCGCCGAGCTGTTAATTAATTAATTGACATTTGTTGTCCACATACCAATGTCTGTCCATCAAAATCTTAAGTCTGTCGTTCTTCTTCAACATTGATCAAACTGTTGTCCAGCCCTCCGTTCTTCTCTAGTGCCCATCAGTGGCGTAGCCAGGATCGTCTCAAGGGGGGGGGGGGGGGGGTTGGTCCAATTTTTACCCGGGGACAAGCTTTCGATTTGCACCCCCCCCCCCTCAGACTTTTGATTTGCACCCACCCCCCTCATACTTTATATATACCGAGGGGTCTATGGGGGGTTATGACCCCCCTGCCTACGCCACTGGTGCCCATTACTACACACAACTATCGAGTCACTAGTTTATGTCGTCAGCCCTCAGTTTAATCTAGCTTAAAAACATTTTTTTTTGCAAAATTTTGTTTGATTTCATCAGGAAATATATTTTATCCTGCTATTTCAATATCTGTAGGTTCATTTAGTTTTTAATTTAATCTAGAAAAAAATTAAATGATGGTATTTGAAATGTTTTGTTGTGCTAATTCCATTGAGACGTTGTTGATCCAGCCACACCCACACATTAAACTGGTAGTCCCATGTATTAGACATGAAAGCTGTGTTCGGAGGGGGAACTGGGAAAAGTATGTTTTTATATAAATTGCATTTTGTTCGGGGGGGGGGGGGGGGCTTTCATGAAGAGATGCCTGATAGAAACTGCACAAGTGGAAAAGTACGTTCTCAAAATTCTCTAGCTGACCCCTCACAAACTAAACCCCAACAATCGAAGCAGAACGATACAAAGATTGTGCTAAAGAGTCAGCGAGTCAGTGACTCTAGTGGAGATGGTAAGACTTCAGTTGATGTAAATCTTGATTTAAGTCAGTGACTCTAGTGGAGATGGTAAGACTTCAGTTGATGTAAATCTTGATTTAAGTCAGTGACTCTGATGGAGATGGTAAGACTTCAGTTGATGTAAAACACGTCACAAGTTTATTGGAACTGAGCTGACACTGGCGTCAGACCCTGGGATGGGGGGCGGGGAGCGGTAATTTATGGGCAAGTGTGAGTCTAATAATACTGAGCCCTCCCCTCCAACATGTCGGTGTGGCCCAAACGTATAGGGCACACCGTTGGTATAACAGGATCAGCCCAGTTAGTAGTCTGTAGTCATTTTGTTAAACTAACACCTTAGATGATAGAAGTTTGCAGTCATTTTGTCAACCTAACACCTTAGATGATAGAAGTTTGCAGTCATTTTGTCCACGGCGAGGCAGAAAGAAAAACGTTAGTAAGATTTAAAAGACACCAGCATCCGACCTTTCGATAATTTCGTAGACTTCCTGCTAGCTAATCCGGAAGTGATCTAGGAAACATCGAGCGGGGAATAGGACTTTGGTGACAAGCTCGTGTCATTCCCCCGTCACGTGGCGCGGGTCAGAACGTGCGCTCCACGACTGGCTTGTAGCGACGTGATCAAGACTCGACAAAATGGCCGACATGTCACGTGGCTTGGTCCACCTTCAGTGGTTTTATCTGTCTGAACTATCGATTCGGCTTCAGGGGTGGGGGTAGGGACTACAGGGGTGGGGATACATTTATCATTGTTCATTTTCTTATCTAAACCTTCAGTAGATAGATGGGGCTTGGGAGAGATTCTCAATTTCACACCTCGAGAGTTAGTTAATGGGAGGGCGAGGTGGCTGGGTTCAACTGGAGGCAGGGGTGGTTGGGTTCAATGGGAGACATAGGTGGTTGGGTTCAATGGGAGACAGAGGTGGTTGGGTTCAATGGGAGACAGAGGTGGTTGGGTTCAACCTGAGTCAGGGGTGGTTGGGTTCAATGGGAGACAGAGGTGGTTGGGTTCAATGGGAGACAAAGGTGGTTGGGTTCAATGGGAGACAGAGGTGGTTGGGTTCAATGGGAGACAGAGGTGGTTGGGTTCAATGGGAGACAAAGGTTGTTGGGTTCAATGGAAGGGCGAGGTGGTTGGGTTCAACTGGAGGCAGGGTTGGTTGGGTTCAATGGGAGACAGGGGTGGTTGGGTTCAATGGGAGACAGAGGTGGTTGGGTTCAACTGGAGGCA